TTTCATCATTAACGTTGCGGCTTTTTTGATCAGAAGGCTTGTTAAGATACCGCTTGAAGGTTTTTTCAATGATGTGTGAAGGAAACGAGTTACGTTTTACAAATTATGTTTACGGAAATTAAACATTGGTCTGAACTAGGGAACTAATTGCAACCCAGGTCTGAAACAGGGTTTTGATTTAAGGGTCAGGTCATAAACAGGGTTTTGAATTTTTGGTCAGGTCATAAATAGGGTAGGGAGTATTGCATATTTTGGTCATAAATAGGGTAAGGGTTTTGAAAAGTGGGCTGCACACCCCCACCCAATTTTTCTGGGAGTACCCCCAGGGTAAAATATTGACCCCGTGTGTACATTAAAATATTACAAGTGCAAGCTATTTGTAAATAAAGATAATGAAAAGTGCCTTAGTTTATGTACATGTATGTATTTATACTTTTGATGACTTCCAGATAAAAAAAGAAGAAACTTGAGAATATTAAGTGTACAAATAGGGTTATTACGAAATGTTTATGAAGTTACTAATTAAGTTATTGATTGCACCTAACTGTGTGGTGGTCCAATGTACTTACCACATGTATACTTATTGCAGTTGTAAATATGTACCATCATTTCTGCGATTTCTTCAATCTGTATGTCACACAACATGTGAATGGATCCTTTGATACTGATGTAAATATTGTATTGTGGGAAGAGGTTTGTGCATTTAACTTCTTAATAAATGATTTTGTTTTAAGTAGTGAGTAAAATATTTTATTTCTAACTGCTACAGGGCTACAGGGAGTCTACACACATTTTTATAGTTTGCACATATTTTTTTTTATAACTAAAGAGAAGTCGGTGTAAGTGATGTCTTTAGCTTTTTTACGACTTATCTCATGTAAATAAAAACAAATTTGAGCATGCCCACAGGTAGCAAAGGTTAATCTAGGAGGGTCATGGCTTACCAAACTAAAGTATGAGAGACACGTTTTTAACTTTGCTATATATAGTTACTTAATAGCTACTATACATGTATAATTGAATGAAAGACAGAGTCGAGGGAGAGAGTTGTCAAGATTTCAACTTTTTATATGATTTCTGGAGGATCAATATTATAAGTTGGAGTCTTCTAAATTTATTACTATTACTACTATTATTATTATTATTATTATTATTATTATTATTTTCACTTTTGGTCTAATTTGAGTGAATAAATTAACTTTAGCTGATCGGCTAGAAATTTTTATACTTCTGTCTACATTTGCTTCATTTGCTTTGCATTTGTTTGATTTTTTGGGTTTGGTGTATTTTAGCATGCAAGAAGAAGTTTAGGGAATTTTGGAGCAACGTGGAAAGCATTTACATCCAACCCAGTGCTTTATCTTGGCAAGGAATATAAACACAAGCAGGTAATTTGAAGTGTGTAAACTATTACAAATTCTGTCATTCCTGACATTGCCAACAGAATTGTTTGTTACCACTTTGATTGTTTGTTTTGTAGGTGTGTTTTAAAGAGGCAATCTTTGCCCTTCTCCCTAGAATGGTGTTTGGTTTGTACTATAACACACCTTTGGTGAGTTCAGGCTTGTTTTTGTTGTAGAATTTACTTTTTCTGTGACACTGCATGGGCCTTGAAGTCTGCAGAGGTATAGTAACTAGAATATTTGGCAACTTCGATGATTTGGCTTGGAAGTAACTGTGATTGGTTTGCCCTCATAATTTATGATACATGAATATAGACACCATGCATGAAAAATTGTTCTAACCAATAATTTTTCCTCAGAATTAGTAGAAATCTGTAAATATGCAATATTTCAGCCCCAAAAAGTTATGAAAGGGTGTTGATTTCAGTCGTTTTTTATAAAGGCGTTTTTTTTCAAACTCATCATATCCTAACAGAAGAAAATTCAGAATGACAAGTTCTTGTGAAAGTGGCAATGCTGATACAGAGTTGCCAAGGGTGTATAATGTGGCTTTGTAAACTCCCTACACTGTATGTAGTAATTTTCAGTACTGTGTACACGTGCATGTTTCCTTACCAGACTCCAGGTTGTTCTAAAAGTGGTCTTTTCAAGGCATTCTCAGAGTATGTGATGGGCAGACTTGGCATTATTCAGGAAAAAAAGTTGCAGGTATTGAGCAGGACTTTCTTTGTACAGTGGATATCTGGTGACAGTCCACTGCAGAAAATCCCAGGGTTTAAATAAATTGCAATCTAGCATGATATTAAAGACTATAACTACAGTATTAGCTAAATAATTCTAACTTGACTATATTGTTTATTTTGTTATTACTAGCTCTTATCAAGTGAGCAGGAGGCCTGTATGGGAGAATCTTTACCGAGGTCGTGAGTACAGACCAAGGTCAAGATTCTCCCATACAGACCGACTAAGCTTGGTTAATAAGATATTCATTATATGGCAAACAAGAACAGTTTAATTCATTTAATGTAACTGGTTTGTACTAGCTGACATTTTGCTTGTGAATGGCAATGAGCCAAACTTAATTCTGTTAAAGTTTGCTTGTCCTCTTTAATATCTTTCTCATCAAGCTTTTTGACACTTCCATAAATAAATATTGTTTGAAGAAAACAGTCAATATTTTTGCATTTTAGTTTCTTTTTCATCGCAAAATGTAACTAGTCGAGATGCCGGTTTAGATGGGAAAATCTAGACTGCTTTCAATATCGACTTCATCCAATCAAATTCGTGGATTCGGTAGTTCCCAATCCTTGTGAGACACAGCCATATAATAAAGTATAAAATTGTGCTTCTGCTCCTTTTTATGGTTGAACCCTGACATAGTTAATGTTTATAATAGATGTACCTCAACACACATCAGCTGGCAACCATACATTCAACTTGTTAGGGTGCAGTATTAGACATTCCATACCATAAACACTAGGATTACATGTACATGTAGTTCCAGTGGTGTGGGCCTTGAGTAGAGTGTAGACCTTGTGAAAGTGTATAGTTATCATAAATTCCATTTCTTAGAACAGCAGTGAGCCGATCCGTGTAACACTACTATCTAGAGGGACAAAGTTTAGGAAAATATTGAATGAGGAAGAGGTGAGAGTAATTTTAGAACTGTTTGTGGCAAGTTGTGTTGGCTTTAAAAGTTCGCTTTGCAGTCTTATCGTTATTAAGTAGAAAAATAAGGTGGCTTACACTGCAGGATAAGAATATGTCATCTTGAACTTTCCAGGTGCACGTGACCCAGTCATCATATCAAATTTTGTCCATGTGTTAACAAGAGCGACCCTCACAGTATTCAAGAATCTTTGAAAACCCAAGTTCTTTCTTTCACTTAAAGTTGATAACAAACTGAACAATGAATTTTGTTTCTTTCCATGTTCCGGAAACTCAACTCACTGTTTCTCTTAAGGTTGAGCATATCAATTTTAATAATTGGGTGTGGATCTCAAGAAAAAAAATATCTTCTTAATGTTTTACTTTCTATCTTGAATAAACAGCTCAATTGTACAATGTGCATGTACCAGTTAATCCTAAATATATGGTTCATCATATCAGTGACTTATCTTGGGAAGGCGGAGTGCAAAGAATGCAAGACCCTTCATTTTGTAGAGTTTTTTGTTGAAAGAAATTTTGTTGTTCTCCTGGTAGATCAAAGTAGCACGTTTTATAAACACACATAATAAGGAGCATTTTGGTCAGTAAATGATGTTATTTATCTTTATTGTTGACAGATTATTCATGCCTTGGAAACATACCCTGGAGTGAAGTTGAATGTGTCACAATATTCTTGGTACTGCTTAAGCTTCTCTCATTGTTTTTGCCATATTCCATTTGTGCCTTTGTAAAACCGTTCGCCAAAACTTAGTTTAGACACTCGGTAGATCAGAGGAGCCAGGAGGCTCACCAGTGTTACCTCAAGAATTTTAAAAGCTATAACAGAGGTATTGTTATCCTTGTTACCGCTTAGAGAGAATGCTAGGACATTGTACAGCTAAGGAAACCACTCCACCCCAAAACTTAAACAGGAATGTTATGACAACCACGCACGATGTGTGAACAAGTTTTTCGTCAATGTAATGACTGATGTTATTCAAAAATGGAAACTTTTCACTTTGGTAAATAAGAACGCCATTTGTCGGTATTTCAGTCTACAAAATTTGTTAATTAAGAATTTCAGTGATTCTGAAAACATTCTCACAACTCCAACGTTGTTAGCAAGTTAGACAAGTAAATAATCGGCTGTGAGTACGCTTTTGTACTCTGATAACAATATTAAATGACGTTATTGGTTATACCATAGTTAATGGACTATGGTTATACACGGGTTATATTAGGGTGTACTCCCCCATGTTTGATTAATGAAGGCGTATTTAAGGGGAGCGCCTCCACCTTGCTCCACTGAGAAACGCGTTTTACATCGTTTAATTATCGCATCTTCTCATGAGAGTACTCTTCAATACCTTTCGTGAAGTAGGCTTCATACACCATCAGAGGTGTGGCGGTTTAATGCTTAGGGGGCTGAACTCAGAATCAAGTTATCCTTGCTCGAACCCTGGTTGGGTTCAATTTTTTTGTGTGTTTGGGCAAGACACTTAACTGTCACAGTGCCTCTCACCATCCAGAAGAAAAAAGAACTGGGTACCGGCGAATACTCGTAGTCATTTTATGCTATTGTACCAACCTGATGGGCAAAATTAGCCTACTTTTAACAGACAGTACTGCTTTCAGCTTTATTCCATGTAAAATCATAGTTAAATGATCTTAAGGTTTGAAAGGTGTGACTTATGCCGACAACTGTTTCTCTTAATTTGGAATTTTCTGTTCTTCGTTCTCAGGGACATGCCTTTTCTTGAACAGCTCAAAGTGAGTTATTGTAAATTTTTTTTTACAGATCTTGTTTATTGTTTGCAAGTATAGGGTTCGTAATTTGAGAGACGCTTACCATGTATCATGTTCTTCTTCTCCAGAGAAGTCACAACACAGACATATTTATAGGAATCCATGGAGCCGGGCTCTCTCATGCTCTCTTTATACCAGACTGGGCAAATCTGTTTGAGCTGTAAGTAACATTAATTTTGTTACGACAGAACAGTTTACTTTATTTACATTCTGACGCCTGATGAAGACTAGCAGTGAGCAGTCGAAACATGGCATTCGACATTTCAGGGCCGGGTTGTCCAAAGTCCGATTATACTAACTCAGGCTTATTAGCGAATTTTGATTTCAGTTTTGTAACTTTTCGGCGAGGTTTTCTGTAAATTATATTGTTTGTAATTTTTCAAGGTAGAAACATCAACTCGGAAAAAAATTCCGAGTTCCAGATGGGATTTGAACCCACGACCCCCGAGTTGATGTTTCTACCTTGAAAAATTTCTACCTTGAAAATGTCCTTGTAATACTCACTTTGGAGGGTGGTTGGTTGCATCTTTGATATGCCTTAACGTGACTGCGCAATGCAGTTAGTGAATTCATATGCGCCAAGACATCATTTGGCTGTGTGACTGCGCGATGCGGTTCCAGTCTAAGACCCACATTTCACCCTTACTCACCATGGAGTCTCCAGTAGCTCAGTGGTTAGAGCATCCGACTAGATCACGGAGGGTCGTGGGTTCAAATCCCATCTGGAACTCGGAATTTTTTTTCCGAGTTGATGTTTCTACCTTGAAAAATTTCTACCTTGAAAATTTTCGTATAATACTTATATTGTTTGTCCCTCGGTTTTGAGTTTGAATAGTCTCACACTATACAAAACGTAAGAAGCGAAAACCATTTTTGTACAAGAAAAATCAAAACGTTGGTTATTCGAACAACCCGGCCCAGCTGACTACGTCGCATCACGACATCTACAAGGGGTAAGACTTTGTTATTACTACAGCACGGTTCGTACGGGTTACGGAAAACCTGGAAAGTTATGGAATTTTATGATACCATTTTCGAGGCCTGGAAAGTCATGAAATTGAAGTGTGGGTTATGGAAAGTCTTGGAAAAGCAATATACTTTCTGAGAGCAAAAAGGCAAAGAGATCAAAATTTGAAAAAATAACGGTCGAGTCAGAAAACCGGTCTTAATTCCAGTAAATAAACACTAGCACGCATTCTATGGGTCATAATGTGAGGAAATAACTTAAATAATAGATTGATTTGACGATACTTTGAGAACAACTGCTTAGCATAGGTCATGAAAAACTCAGAAGGTCATGGAAAAGGACATGGAAAGTCATGGAATTTTAACAGCTCAAAAGTGTACGAACCTTGATTACAACCATCAAGAACAATCTTTTTCACGATGATACAACACTTGTTTAACGTTTTACTTTTGTAGTTAAGGGTCATTATTTAACTCTTCGAAAAATTTGGTGATAATTTTCGTGCATCGTCCTTGAAATCTTTTTTAAATTTGTAAATTCGTTCACGTTGTGTATTCTCATTCATTTTCTTGTGTGACTTACTATATCTAGATACAACTGCGGTGACATGAATTGTTATCGGGATTTAGCAAGACTAAGGTATAGAGAGTTACCGTTAGTTCGCAGATATTGTTATTATTTTTCTCGTTGAAACTTCTCTTACTGTATCTGAATTTTGATCGTATCCAGTAACAGCTAAAAGAAGGAAAGAACACTTCAGTTTCTTTCGAATGAGTGAGACGATCCTGGTCTGTGGCTTATGTTCTCTCTACGCCATCCGAGGAGCAGAATAACTTAATGTATAACTGTAATTTAGACTTTTATACTTTTTTTCAACATTCTCATTTATACTTTATCTTAGTGGCGTTCTTACAAACTAGAGAGTACATTTCAGACAGTTTGCATGTTTTTTCAGAGGCTTTGGTCAGTACCGTCAGGTCGAGAGCGCTGACCACTGTGGAAATAAAGGGTGCGTTCCTTTGGGGTGATCTGGATCAGGATAAGTCATCCAAGATCACTCGGATCATGGTGCATAAAAGGAACCGATGAATCCACTCTGGTCACGGATTCATCGGTTCCTTTGATGAACCATGATCCGAGTGATCTTGGATCCGCACTGATCCTGATCCAGATCACCTCAAAGGAACGCACCCAAATTGATTGTCTTGGATTGGCTGGTGTCTTGTGATCTTTCAGTGTGTAGATATGGGTGATATTGAACCACAAGGAACAGATACGTAACAACTGAGCTTGCATTTCTTTTAATTTACGTTTCAGGGGAGTATCTTACATAACGTGGGAAGACAATGATAAAATTGTTGAACTTACTGAGGTAGGACACTACACGACTGTAGTAACCTTCTACTGAGTAGACTGGGTAGACTCTGAGTAATATCTTTCCTTTTATTCCTTAAGAAATGTATGAAGGGTACAGTCCCCAATTCTTTCTCGTTTTTACTTTTATTGAAATACTCATTCTTTTTTTAATTTTATTGAAAACCGCTTTTTGATACTAACGTTGAGGTTCACACTAACCAGTCATACTAATATACTGAGAAGTGTGTCGAGGACAAAAGTGGACCTCAGATCTGAGGGCTAATTCCGTTTTAGTTGGTGGAGGGGCTGGGGGTCTTTTTTCAGATGTTCTTGACGTCGACGGCATCTTACGCCAACATTTGTAAGTTTTCTTTGTCATAACAATTAATGTCTGTAGTGTTTACTCCTTCGGGAAGCCCACTCAAGACTAGTTCTGTAGCGCCATGCGTAAGTTTGTTTTGAACTGTAATTGTGACGAAAATAATGGATTTTGTGGAAGGTGAAACTATGTAGCATAAGATCTAGTGCTCAAATGATACCTGGAAATTTTCACTCCTTCCGCTGTAGCTGGAATTGTAACAATTATCTCAAGGTGTAAATTGTGTATAAATGAGCTAATTTGTTTTCTTTCCATTTAAAATCCATCTATTTTCCTAGGAGCTCCATCCACAATACAAAGATCATCCCAAGTTTAGGAACTACGCTTTTGATGTGCGTGAATTTATGAGGCTAGTGGAGAAGGCGGTGATTAAAGTTAGGCAGTCTATCGATGATTACAAAAAACATCATAGCAGCTGACACAAAGCAATTTAGCCGAGTTTGATGACGTTAAAGGATGTCTAGAAGTGTTGGTTCAACTGGGAGCAAGCTATGTGGAGTCCAGCCTCACAAGCCTTACCAGCTCAAAACGATCTTACCCACACAGAGAGAGTATTCAAGAGTGACAGGACGTGAATATGTCACGTGAGAGGACCTATAGAGGTTTACAAAGGATCAGTTCTAGAGACTACAGCCACAAATATTATGACTGAAAGTACAGATCGGACGATAGTCCAGAGACAAATGACGCGTCAGGCTACAGTTGTGCCAGTTTCACCCGAAAGACAGAATCTCTAGCGAAGCTAATCAGTGAACATCAAGGGCGGGGGAATGCTTCCTCCGGCAATAACGATCATGCAAAAAGAAAGACTGTTTTAAGCCGTGAAACAACATTAACAATTAGCCCTATATAGTCAAACCTACAGTCGGAACTCCCCTTTTGGACACCTTTTTGTTCCGGACAGTTTCCCTGGTCGCGACGAAATGCCCATCCCCTCTCTAATACGGAAAACAGACACTAAATCTCGGTCCCAAATAAAATTCATAAACGTTACCTATATCGTGAACGATTTGCATTGCACCTTAAAGACGTGCTTGGGTCAGTTTTGACTCCTGGGGAAGAAGACTTTGAACCACAAGTGGAGCCTTTGCAATAGGCCACGTTCGATATGTCAACATTCTAACATGGCTCCGAGGCTTTCGGGACAAACGTCTATATTTGGTGACTTGAATAATACCGATACATCTCTAACAGAGGAATCGTTTGTAATATTTGTTCCACTAGCGTAAGCGATTTATTTTCTGACCGAGCTAGAGAAATGCCAGTTCTAGATATTAAAATGATATAGCACAGTTAAACCGTCCATTTTCGTATTCTCGGTATTGGACTGGAACTAGCTTGTAATGGAGGTTCATGCGGGGGAATATCATTAAAAAGAGATTAATCTCAGTTGCATTTGAAAAGACTCCCTGCATTAGCCTCAGTTACAAGCTAGTTCCAGTCCGATACCGAGAATACGAAAACGGTCTGATTTTGCGGCAGATATATTAAAGACTGTTTGCGTGTTCAGTTTCTTGATAGTATCTGATCGTGTGGTACCTGTTCTACAGATTAAATTGTTGCTTTTGTATAGAATCATGACTTTACACAGTTTTCATTGAACTTTGAACTCTATAAGCCAAATAGGAGTTTCAAAAATTAGTGCAATGTACATGTGTTTTTATCCCTTATTTGTTCTCTTCTTTTGTTTTCTTTTTTAAATTACAAAAGAAGAGAATAAATTAGGGGTAAAAATGTTTGCCCAATGCACTAACTCTTGAAACTCCAATATGGCGTATTGCTCACTTTCATCACTTTGAAGACCCCAAAATAGCTTTTGGCATAGTTCAGAGTAAAAAAGTTGTGTATGTAGAGAGATAAAAATCTTTTAAACCTAGCCACGCTTTCACTATTAGAAATGTCGAGCATTTCTTAAAAGGTTGTACAGAATAGCGGGTTTCCATTTCGTGTCGCTTGTTTTCTCCCAAGGGTCCTGTAAAGGTCCTCATGGAGGAGAAAAGGCTGGTTTTGTTTGTAGTAATCTTTTCATAGGACATGATGACGTGACTGGACCAAATGTTACTTAGTGGCTCTAAGTATATTAGAAGCATACATTTGATAAGTCTTTGAAGTTCTTTTGATGAGAGATGATCGTTTAAATAAAGACAACTATTTAATTTCGCTGTACATTTACTAGTCCGTGTTTTACTAGTCCAGTCCAGTCCAGTCGTCGAAAATTGTTGACAATAGACAGCAATAGATGATTAATGAATGATACACCATCATCAATTCAGCTCCTTCAAAGTAGAGATTGGTTGCAGTTTACCGTCAATAGTGATACCGTCAATTGATTGCAGTTTACCGTTATTAGTGTACAAGATAGCCGTCAGTTTTCATGAATCCACTGAGAAAAATATGGCGTGTTATGTTACCCAGGTCCCGCAGGTCATAATATTCAATGCGAAACGTAACGCAGTCTATCGCAGTATTCCCTAAATTTTGTCGACGAGCGAAATGCGGCTGGTCGGAATAGGTTTTTCTGTTGCATCCCGTTACAAATCCTGGAGATTAACCAAGTTACACCGTGGATCCACTAAGGCACTTGACTTTATTTTCTCCCGCTTGAGTTCAGTTCATGTTCATGTAAGCACACCGCCAGTGTTCGATTCCAAAGTTGGATTTACCGACTACGAGAAAGAGCGGAGAGAATTCCACATCGACGTTCCTAAATACTTTAATTTTGCCAACGTGCTGGACGAATGGGCGCAAAAGGAAAAGGTACGAACATAAACATAAACACATGTCATGTTGTGTCGATCCAGGGCTACGTTATGTTGATTTTAAAGCAAATGCCCTCCAATAGTAGATTAGATAGTGTGACTATTATGGTAGTTGCTGTTTAATAACCTCTAACTGAAAGTTGATCGTTAGCAGAGTTAGAGCATATTGGAATACAGTACTTAGCCGCAATCGGCTTTTGATCTGTGCTAGGCGAGAATGCTGTTTAAATCCTAGCCTCATCATGAATGCTGCTTAAATCCTAGCCTCATCATGAATGCTGCTGTGTGGAGCCGTTCGCGTACTAGCCTGCGATCAGGCTTTTTGCGAAGTGAGAAATTATGCAGATTACAAACCTAGGATCAGTTTTCAATTCTAAATGTTTCTGAGAAGATTTGCGTCACTGAATCACTGATTTTGGTCCGGAAATTTACTCGAGCTTGTTAGTGCGTTCCTTGCGTGACATCGCTGTCACGTTTTTATCTCAATCCCAGATCTCGAAGGAGGAAAACACTTATGGGCCAACTTTTGTCTCTGGGTTGAAACGAGTCTTCGTGCAAGAGCATTCGTATCAGAATGTGTTTCACCTGCAAGGAACTCATTTTCATATGATAATGACAGGTTTTGTACGGGGACTCGTCAAAAAGTGGCAAACGGTAACACGGATATGGCTCACGTTTACGCGTATAAACCCTTTGCATAAAGTTAAATTTGAATGGCAATACCTATACATCCTACGCCTCAAATTCATGTGAAAAAGCCTTTGTCTGGAAACATAATTACAAGGCCCAAAGTATTGTTATTCAAATTTAGGCGCCATTTAAGCAAAGGTTCTATTAGCACTCGTCTTCTACAGGGAACGAGATAACGAGTCAAGTTCGAGACTCATTCGAATTCTCAAGGATTTTGGACAGAATTCGCTGATAATTTTCCTTGATTAAACTGCGTTGATTAATTGCCAATCTATCGTTTTAAATACAAGTTGTTTGTTCAGGTTGTTGGTTCGTAGCTTGTTCGAGGCGTTCGGTTAATTGGAGCAGCGCGAAAAACCGTCAGAAAAGAGGCGAGTAGACAGAGAACGCCGTTCTCTCGCTTTCCCTACACTTCTCTTCTCTCCCCTCCCTCTTTTGCTTCTGTTCTACAACTAAACGAACGCCTGGAAAAGGCTATTGATTCAAGGAAAGTTCAGACCAGATAAAGACAATGTTGGTTCCTTAAGTTTGTCGTCACTCCTGGAAAACTAGTAAGAGCAGCAAAAAAGTACCACTCTACTCTTACTCAGTTCCTGAGCTGACTGACTAAAACCGATTGAGGACCAAAGACAACTTTCAGACGAACGGATTTATAGAAATTCCCCTTTACATTCTTTCTCATAGTTATTTTCTTTCGACAATGAATCACAGTTTGTCAAGCTTTTTCTTTATTGTAATTCACTCATTAGACAGGCGAGAGAAAGGATGGAAACCCGGCGTTTTGGTGGGTAGATGACAAAGGGAAAGAAATAAAATGGTCTTTTCAACAACTCATTGAACACAGCAGAAGGTGAGCTATCAAATGCCTATTGTTCTACCTCCTCACGTTGCCTCACCTCATCTCGCCCCGCCTTACCTAACTTACCCCACTTTACCTGTCCTCTTTACGAAAGTGCAAATTAAGTAGTATTGACTTGATCCTTGTTCTGGGGAGAGTTTGTTATGTTTTGAAGTGCAAGGGGAAGAGGGTTGGGTATTGCGGCTAGGACATCAAATTGACCGGTTAGGTGGATGGTTTATTTCTTTTCCTGATTTTTTTAAAGGACAGCAAATATTCTCACGGAAGCTTGTGAAGTTCAGAGGGGAGATCGCGTCATGGTCATATTACCGAGACTGCCAGAATGGTGGCTAATCAACATCGCTTGCTTACGAACAGGTAACAGAAATGAGACCACTCAATTCAGTTGTCTTTGAGAGAACGCCTACTTTTCGTACCTAATCTTTCCTTTTTGGTGGCATGTCAGGCGAGTTTGGTAGAGTCATGGTTGGTATTTTGGCAAAAATGTAGTCGAGCCAAAACATCTGTGAGGAGACCATGTGAACCTGATATGCCACCAGAGCGTACCAAAAAAGGTACGATTTAGATATTTACCGTGCTCTAATTCCACTTAAATTCTGGAGATTTATTAGATTTACGTTTGGTGATCCAATTTTGTTAGTACTTTGGCATGCGCTAGATTTTTTATCTCATGCACAATTCCGATGGCTCTCAACTCAGTCCCCGCCAACGCTACACTGGAGAAATTTGAAAACGGAGCTTTTCGAAAACGCTCTTCAAACCAGAGGAATTTGAAAACGCCGACTTCACGTTTTAGTGTGGACAGAAAAAATTTTGAAAACGGAGGTTTTCGAAAACGATGACGTCACGGCAATCACGTGATTTCCCTGCCAGAGTTTTCTTCAAACGCAATTCTAATATGTCCAGGGATTCTTGCGTTTTCAAATTTCTCCAACGTATTGTGGACGGAAAACATCTCATGCGTCTTCGGAGTGAAAACGCCGTTT